AGAAGAAGAAAAGAAAAAAGTGTCAGATTGTATGAATGGTTTAAAAGATTGAAGAAATTGGTACGCGTGGTCGTCCCATGATAATAATAATTTTTTTGTCCTTTTCGTCGAACCACCACACAGCCACCAACCAACCAACCACGTGGTTAAAAATGTCTCCTTACCTTATCGAGAGATATTCCAGCCATGTTTTGGGAAATTTGAAAAAAATAATGAGCGGGTTGTTGTTAAAAAAAGGTTTTGGGTGTTCAGCCCAATCCAGCCCACTGCGCAAAATCCGGTACTTCGCGAACGGGAACATCACGAGCAAGGGCTTTCACCCTTAAATTTCTATCTTCTGTAAGCAAAACTACTTCTCTAACTAAATGTCTAGGATTACCTGAAAACCCAATAAATTCAAATAATTAAAAAATGACGGGGGAAGGGGGAAAAAAAAAAAAAAAAAGTTTTTCATTTTTCGTTTTTTTTTCTCTCACCAGGTTTTGTTTGCTCTTTTCCCGAATTTCGGCACAAACTGATGCACGTTGCCAATACCCTGTCATCATTTTTGAGATCCTGTGCGAAAGAAACAAAAACAAGAAATTAGTATCCGATCCCGTAGGAAAGAAATATCGACAAACAGTCGTCTTAAGCTTACTCTATCGATGTCATCTTCGACCACAAAGGTCGTGAATGAATTAATGAATTTTCCTCTGGTCGTAACGCAGCGAATGGTTGGCAGAGAGCGCATTGGAGATCGAAGGTAATTGAGGGCTGCTCTCGCGCTGCCGGATACATCAGCAGCATGCTCTTGTTCAATCAAGGACAAATGCCCGAGATCACGATCCCGTCCACCACGAGCGAGTCCTTCCAATTCGTTTAAAACTTGAGAGTAAAAAAAAAGTAAAAAAATGTATAAAAAAAAAAAACTCATAAAATAATTTAAAATTAATTATTTATTTTTTTTTTTTAAATTCTAATTACGATTTTTTTCTTACCAATAAGAGGAATAGTAAGAATGTAATAAGGCTCCATTCCGGGGGCTGGAATACTTGCTATTTTTTTAAGAAGCTCGAGATAATCAATAAAACAGTTTGTGTCTGGAACTAGGTATTTAGGCTTTACTTCGATCACAACGCTAAGTCCGCTTTGTTGTAAAATGGCCTAAAAGACGAGAGAGTGAGAGAGAGAGAGAGAGAGAGAAAATAATATATATTATTAACCGTCTTCTTTGAATGTTGTAAATCAATTTAAGTTTATTGCTTATAAAATAAAATAAAATAAAAAAATTATGGTTAGAAAAATTAAGCGCCGCTTTTAATATTTTGTTTCAAGGTTAAATGTGAGCATAAACCAAAAAGGGAAAAATTTTTCCCGCCAAATTGATTTGCCGAATAAAACTAAAAACCAACTACCGGGATTCATGCAAAAAAAAAAAAAAACTATTAAAAAGCAATAAAACAATGGCAACCTTTTCTGTATCTTCTCCTCCATTTCAAATTAATAATTTCCCCCCCCCCCAAAAAAAAAACAACAAGACTCACTTGAACTCTTTTCCTGTGCCTTTCTTGTCTCTGATGTTTTTTTTCCAATTCTTCTTTTCTTATGAGTAACCTTCTGGTTTCGACCGCGGACAAAGACGTGGCCATTTCCAATGAGTCCAACGACAGCGGTTGTTCGAGCTTAGGTTTTTCATCGCTGTTGCTGTGATGATCTTCACATTCTTCTTCGCTAAAACTTTCCACCACGAGTTCCGCATCGCTCTATCATTAAAAATTATTAATAATAATAATAATAATAGTAACAGATTACATTAATTCTAGGATGTTCATTTCGTAAAAAATGTGAAATGAAATATGACTGATAAAAAAAAAAAAAAAAAAAAATTTTTTTTTAAGGTTTATGTTTCTGGTTGAGAGGAATAAAAAAAAAAAAAAATTATAAGAGCGAAACCAGACTTCTTTTAAGTGGAATCGTTAAGTCTAAATTAATAGTCAAATCTTAAAAAAAAAAAAATGAGAGAAAGAGAGAGAGAGAGAGAGAGACAAAGAGAGACGGAGAGATTAAAAAAAAAAAAAGTTATAAAATCAAAATCTTGATGTGTGAATACGTTGAACTCTAAAAACCTCTAAAAACAGGCATAGAAGAGCATGCATGTACCTGATCTTCCGTCGGACTAGATTGAGAATGACCAGAGCTATCAACCACCGAGACGTATTCGCTGTAATTATCATATTTTTGAAGTTTGAGCACGGGAGGTTCCGTTCCGCAAAGAAATACAGTTCCGGCAAATATAATTTTTCTAATTCTCAAACAACATTGAGCCAATTCCTATTCACAAAACAAAATACGTATATAATTATCATTATTATTATTATTTACGAAAAACACGAAAACGGTTGTTTAACGGCCAAATTTTTCTCTTTTTTTTTTTTTTCTAATTTAAAAAATTATACAAGTGTCAACCAACCATATCATTTGTCGAATTAGTATAAATTTGATCTTGTTCGCTAAGCATGAGGGGCGTGAAACCGGCTAATGTAGCATCTTCTGGAAGTCTCACAATCTCCAAACCTTTAAATTCAAACGACGAACAATAAAAATAATAATAATGATAGATAAATAAAAATTAAAAATTAAATAAATATCACTAATGGCAAATAACATCATCGAACCTTCTTTGTGAGACGTTGCGAGAACCGTTTTCCGATAATCTAACTTGTCCAAAAGGTTAACTAAAAACGCTAAACGATTCCAAGCATCTCCAGCCGGCCTGAAAGACAAAAAAGAGAAAAAAAAAACGTAAACCGATAAAAATTAAATTTCGATTGCTGGAAAAAAAAAAAAAAAAGATTTCATTTTTCATTGTCAATTCTCCAATTTAATTGTGCAAAAAAAAAAAAAAACCTGAAACGGATGCTGAAAAGATTCTTCTTATGAGTATTTACGCGACACTTTTTGTCGTGCTTAACAGTTTATAATAATAATAATAATAATAATTTAATATTAATAATAATAATTATGACGGAATTTTTTCTTTTTTTTTTTAATCATTACTGATCATAATTCAAACAATATATTTAAAACATATAATTATCTTTAAATTACGTCATCAATAAGAAATAAATGTCTTTAAAAAAAAAAAAAAAATGGATTTAAATAAATAAATACGTCACTCACTTCTTTAGATAATAATTTTATTAAAAACTGGAAACGAAAAATCATTTTTTATTTATTATAAAACATTTCCAAAGGATTTTTAACGACAAACGTTCCGATAAAAAAAAAAAAAAAGAAAAAATCGTCGATGTCACATAAGTTGAACTTGAACGATTTGCAATTTTCCTCCCACCCCCTCCCCCCGCCCACACAATTCAAAATTTCAATTTATTTCGAATTCTCCACTCTTCACCCACGCAGAAACAAATCGATTAAAATTTATTTATTTATTTATGTTTTTTAAAAAATCTGACAAAGAAATAAAAAAATTTTTAAAGTCCCCCGGAGGGGGACATTCCCTCTGAAGTTTACCCCACAGGTAGATTACACGTCACAAGACGTCATTCATTACATCATTCGATTCGGTTTTAAGAGAACCCGATCAGAATTCGATTCGAAAATATCATCTTCAGTATATCAGTTCAAAGAGAACCCAAAGAATTATTATTATTATTATTATTATTATTATTATTATTATTATTATTCGCATCATTTGCAAATCTCGGATTATTTAATTGTTTCAGACAATAACGTCAAATAAAATTTTTTATTTTACGGAGCAATAAAAACAGAAGAAAAATTAAAATGAATTAAACTTCACTACCTGTTTGTTGTTGTTGGTGCTACTCGTTGATTTAAAGGCATTTAAAAAATTAACTACCAGTTTAATTACACTCTCTAGTCAATATTGTATGTCAGGGTAGATTCCCCAACTCGATTTCTATTTTTTTTTTTTTTTTAAACTAAATTATAAAATCAATCAAAACCTTAGTTTTTAAGTGGTTTTTATAAGGGTTAAAGGTCAAACCTTTTTTTTTTTGTATCGTATTGTATACAAAAAAAAAACGTGAACGAACGAAAATGAAATTTCCCAAGTTTCGTACCGAAAAAAAAAATAATTAAAATAAATAAAAACCACATGTTTGTGACGGTAATAATTAAAACTTACCCTACTCTATATTCTGAACAACTGGGTGGAGGATTCCAAACGTTTACGTGACATATAAGCCAATCGCACCAAACTTTTATTGCCGGAAGAAGAACTTGAACGTCATCGACGACGAGCCTGTTTTTCAAATCGCATTGATTTTCCAATTGATCACACAATAACGTCACGCATTTTTCAACAATGAGATTGAACATTTGTAGTGAAACGATGAGAGCATTTTCTTGAACGGCTGATCTGTATCCAGGTTCCAAATTTGTATCTGATAAAAAATGATAATAATAATTATTATTAACAATTTCATGCACAAAAAAAAATTATTTATTCTTAATACTGAAAAATAAATTTTTAATCAACGTCAAAAATGAAATTTGACGAAAAACAAATTAAAATTATTAACATTAATGATAATAATAATATCAAATTTAACGATAGGAAATACTTTTGATGACTTTGCGTGACGCTGTCATTCATTTCGAGAATGTTTTATAAAATCAAAAAAAAAAAAAAAAACTTTTTTCTGTCGTTGATTGTCGATATCGACTTATCGAAATCATTTTATAACCAAATATCGATTATCGTTCGACATAAATTTTTTCGAGGTTTAACGATTTTCGAAAGAGCCGAATTAGCCGATTAAATTTGGCGGAAAAAAAAAAAAAAAAAAAAAAAAAACGGTACGAAGTATAAAATACCTCTTACCGAAATTATCCATGCGTCAAAAATTATTCGTCAAAATTCATTCGTTACAATTTTTAGGCCGAAATAAAAAACGAAAAAAAAAAAAGTAAAAAACCCGACCAAAGAATTCGAGGTACCGAGAGAAGGAAGAGGAAGAGGAAGAGAGAGAGAGAGAGAGAGAGAGAGAGAGGGGGAGATGTGCAAAGGCTTTAAAAATTTTTTTCTTCTTAAAAATAACAATTATAACATATTTTAGTTGGGAAAAAGAAAAAAAAACGTCCTTGAACATCCTTACAAGTTCAAAATCCTAAAACGACGTACGGATGTTTTTTTTTTATTTAAAAACAACAACCAAAACAACAAATCAAATAAAAAACCGATAATTGCCGTATTATAAAAAAAAAAATAAATAAATTTTATATATTCGACTTTTAAATTAAAAAGAAGCCATTTTTTTTTTTCGTTAAATTTCCCTTCCATTTTTTTAATATACCCGTGTGTGTGCGTGCGTGCATGTGTGTGTGTGTGTATTTATGTATCTACCACATAGTTTTCGTTCTATTTATCTCTCCCTTTAAATTAAAAAAAAAATACAATTGGAAAAACAAATTCTTTCATAAGTTAACACTCTCCTCGAACGTTATAAATTAAAAATTTAAATTGAATCAATTATAAATAAAATTCCTTTTTCCTCTCCGTTGTTTTCCCTGAACCGTCAATAAATATTTATATCATCATTCATCATCTTGTATCTTAAAAAATTGAATTTCAATCCAAACTTGTACTACACAGATTTTGCACAATCGAAAAATCAGATTGAATTTCAATTAACCAATTCAAAGGAGTAGTAGTAGTAGTAGTAGTAAAAAAAAAAACTTGATCTTGAAATAAAAATAAACTAGTTCATTAATAACGAAATGAATAAAATAAAAAAAAAAAATCGTTGACCAACCAGGTTCCTCCTCATTAATAAAAAACAAATTCGAATTTTTTTTTTATTTAAATCACACCCAAACACACACACATCATTCATCCTTCTTTCTTTTTTTCCCCTCCCTCCCT